AAATTGACCAATTTAATCAACTTGGTTTTGTGGAGCCAGTTTGGTTCTGTAAATTTAACCGTTTATTTGTTAGAGAGCGTGGAAAAGTACTTTTACTTCTAATTTTTTAATTTTTGTGAGCAGTTTTATGACTTTTACTTAAGTAGTTTCCTCATCAGTGACGTTTGTTTTTACCAAAGTCATTTTCTGTTAAGTTATTTTTACATTTATTTAGTTATTTTTTTCAAGTACTTTATAGACCTCTGGTTTTCATTAATATAATAATGAAGTTATCATCTCATAGTAAGACAGGACTAGATGAACCATAAAAACCCTTTCCTCCAGCTTACAGTCATGTTGTCTGTGGGTCTATTGTTTATAAAAAAAAACCTTAATCATCCTCGTCTCTTTCATTAAAATCCATCTTTTACTAAAAAGATTTAATTCTCTGTCTCATGAAAGGGCGTGCGTCATGCATTGTTCGTGCTCCATCCCTTTATTTTTGGCACGTCTTTTGTTAATTGAGCACCACGAGAGCTCCTCTGGAAGTTTTTATCATGGGCAGAGCTGTGAATTCTCCATTAAGCAGAAGTACCGTTGGTTGACAATGCACAGGATGGGTTCTGAGCTGCTCCTCGCTCTGCTGCGTTTTTCAGATCGAGGCTCACCTTGATACGCTGATCAACGAGCAGGCGTCCTACGTGCTGACCAGAGCCGGGCTGAGTTACATCTACAGCTGTGTGCAGCAGCACGGCGCAGAGCAGGTTTCACACATTTTCCATCCTTTTTTTTTCCATTTCAGACCCTCTAATGGACCTTTTTATATATTATACAAACCCTGAAGTATTGTTTACAGTATCTCATAGGGCTTTGGAAGTGTTTATAGGCTTTACTATCCCCATGGTTACCACATCACCTGCGTCTTTGTTGGAACATAATAGCATTTTTATCAGATTTACAGATGAGGAAAGGAGAGGGAAAGCCAGATTGTGTCATGTTCTATTAAAATATATTGGCTTCTCCAGAAGTGTCTTGTGCAGATAAGAGAGCTGATGTCCCAGAGCTTTCCTTCCTCTTTCTTTTATTTTTTATTTTTTTAACACACTTTGCCTCCAGGCTGACACAAACTCATAGTTGTGGTTTAGCCGGCAAATCTTGACTTTGGGTCGTGTGAGGACAGGCCACACCCTGTTCCTGCTGCTGCTCGGTGACAAACTGTCATTCTTCTGCAGACGGCTCTCCGTGGGTGGTACGGGTTGGGTTTTTTATTTATTTATTTATTTTTTGTTTCTTTTTAAAGATTGCGTATATGGCTGTCTAGCCTCTACATTTGTCTAAATCCCAGATGTTTGCAAAGACAAATCCCAACTTTTCAGTTCTCTTTTGCACTGTTTATGTTAGATGAATCCAGGCTACATAAGATGAATGAGCTTTAAACAAAACAGAGAATATAGTTTTTATTGGATCTTGTAGCCAGCAGATGACTTTATGGCTCTGTGTGTTTGTTATAGTGCCTATAACCCTAAAAAACCCTCTTTCACTGCTTTGAACCTTGTACTTTCTTCTATTTGCCAGTTTTAATGCTGGCAATTTAGGCATTTAAGCTTGACCATTTTGGATGAGGAGTGATGGTTAAGTACCTGAAAAGTACCTCAGGTTGTTTACGTAGCGTCTAACATTTATTTGCTTTTGTCAAGTTCACATTTTGGAAAAACGTTTCACTTATTTTTTAATTAAAAGCCTAGCGTTTCTTCAAAGGAGCGCATATTGCTCTTTACTGTTAAAGGCCCCGTCACACTAGACAACTTATGCCAACTTATCAACGTTTTAAAGACCTCTACATTGAAGACGGGATTGAAAAAAATCAACAGGAAGCTTCTTTTTGGCATGTAAATAATGTAATTCGAAGAAAATTAACCAAATATATAACTTTTATTAGTAATTTAGGCATAAAAAATGTTGCGTAAGTTGGCATAATTGGTCTAGTGTGACAGGGCCTTAAAGCTTGCGTACTCACAAAACGGGACCAGAAACTTGCGTACGCCACTTTTCTCGCAAAGAGTTATAAAACTCAAACTTGGCGTGAAAATGTGCGGTCCCTCACTCCAGCTCTGGCTCACGCGTACGTTTGTTTTGGAGACGGGAAGCTGGCGACACAGATGGTGAAGTGAGGAATTATAGCCACAAATATCTAAGATATTTAATTTCACTTCGTAATTAAACTTAATTTTTAGATCAACTTTATCATAAGCCTTCTTAACAGTATTATTTATGCTTCTGCTGGTGAGCCATTACGACCTTTCAAATAAAAATATTTTAAAAAAACCTAAGCTGTAAAACGGTTGGTGCAATGATCGAGTTATTTAATTGTATTTATTGTTTTTTAAGATCTTAGAGCAGGCCTATTGAGCTAAACTGCTCCGAGGGCCACAGTGACTCAGCTGAACATGTGTGTTCCCCTTTATTGCTTATAATATTGGGCATGTGTATTTTGTATGTTCATTGCACGTAAAGTGAGAATGTTTTTGTTTTGAGCATTTTTAGAGTAACACAAATTCAAAAATATTAACACAAATTACTCAAATTAATTTGTAAAGACTAAAATGTTGTCTTTTTTTAAGACTAAAACTAAACAATTTTTTCAAGCTCTCGTCGACTAAAACTCCACTAAAACCATTAAATATAGAAATGACTAAAACTGACTAAAACTAAGAAGTATTTTTGTTCAAAAGACTAAGACTAAATTTAAAATGGCAGTCAAAAACAACACTGGACTACAGGCCAGCAGCTCAGGAGCCGAACATCCAGCAATTGAAGTTATTATGTAAATAAACCAAGTATTTCAAATATCTGTTACCTTTGAAATAGTTTATTTTGTTGTATTTAATCATGAATACAACATACAGAACCCTATAAAAGTAGTGATTATAAAACAATATCAAAAACAAAACTAACACATTATGCCTCCTGTTTAACACAAATAATATTTTGACATCTCTGATTTTATTTTCCCTTTCATTGTTTAGCTTTAGCTGCTTGTAGTTTTAACTGTCTTTGATGTTCATAGAAATGTTTTTACTCTCTTCTGGCCAAGATTCTGATGTTTCTGTAGATATCAAACATATCTATGTTGAACTAAAACAACTTATAGGAATTAAATTAGAAAACCAGGGTTTGGGCTTGGATGAATGAACCAGTTGGCGGGCCGAACTTTGGTCACTCACGGGCCGGATGTGGCCCATGGACCACCAGTTGAATAGCCCTGTCGTACAGAGAAAATAAATTTGAGATGGCTCTAAATGTCTGTATACCTGCAGGCGGGGCCTTGTGTACAAATCTTGAGGTGCAGCTGGGATCTATAAAGGAAGGTGTGCGTGCGTGCTGGTTTTATAAATCAGAATTTTTTATTTTTTTTATTTTATTTTATTTTTTTTGGCGTACACTATTTTCGCCTTTTGGCCGTTCGCATATTTTTAGTATGAATTCTACACAATCCTTTATAAAAGAGGCCCCAGAGCTTTAAACTAAAGTCATCAGTATCTGTAAAACTGACTTTGAGTTCTTTGTGTTCTCTAAGTTGGCTGTGGCGGCCATCTTGAATTGGATTGACTCCAAAAGTTAATCAGTAAATCAGATCTCGTTTTTCTTCCTCTGCTTGAGCTTCAGCTCCGTTTCTGTCGACATGAACTGTATTTTTCTTCCTTCAGGGACCTTTGTCCCTCCTCCCTGGTATGGACAACTCCTCTGTGAAAGCAGCCATGGTGAGTTCCCAGTCTAAACGTTTAAATCAGATTTCTCCGCTTGTCAATAACCCCAAACTTTCCATCTGTCCGTCAAATATTAGGTCCAGTTTGACCGGTACTTGTCATCGCCGGACACGCTTGTCATGCCTCAGCTCAACTTCCTTCTGAGCGCCGCCGTCAAGTGAGTCCGCCGTGTTTTACTTCCTCTGTTCTCCTGAGTGAAAATAATGAGACGGTCATTTGAAATGTTTGCCTTATCGTCCGGCGCGTTCGGACACACTAAAAATAGAGCGTTTGCCCTAAAGGTAGTCAACATTCATTAGTTTTCCTGATTTAATGCAATCATTATGGCGTCCTGAACAAAACACTCCACTAAACGCACGTGGAGTTTGGTCGCTAAATTGCTAAATCCACCAACACATTGAGCGAACGGTCCACAGGACCGGCTGTATTTGTTCAGCTGATCAGAAAATGCACATGCTTTTAGCCCAATTCATCTGCTGCGTTGGAGGGCTCTCTCTATGAGTTATGCTTACGAGAAAGCGCAGCAGGCTTGAGAAGCACTCTGTACCTCAGGTTAATGTTCTCTATTAATGGACATGGGGGAGCTGATGGGCAGGACGCCATTAATTAGCTTCTGGTCCATTTCTCACTCAGACTGGTTGCCTGAAATCATTCATCTTCTCTCTATCCTGCTATCTCTCATGTCTGTTTCCCCGCTCACCTAAACACACAAAAACACATCTGAAAACACTCCAGGAGCTCACAAATAAAGGTAATGCAATGTTCTTTCTTTTCCCCCCTCACCTTCATTCCACATTTGTGTTATTGTGGAATAAGGTGTTATACACTCCACCGTGGTGCCGGGCTCTCTCCGGGCCAATTAAAAAGATGGATTCTCAAGAGGCTGAGAGGATATACAGCCGAGTCTGTCCCATTGCGTCCTCAAGTCCTCTCACTGGGCTCTTCAGCCCGACTCGTACATCCTCAGTAATGTTCTTCTTCTGCATAAATGACCTCCTAATTCTTTGTACACTTCTTCAATTAAAATACAGCATAGAGGTTTCTTTTTTCTCGAGCAAAGTTTCATAATATGTACAGGTAAATTCTCTTTCAGTGACACCAGAAGGCCTGTTTAGGTTTGTACCTCATGGGCCCTTTGCAGGAAGCAGAGGAAAAAATGTGGACCAGACATGGGAATAACCGTAAAGTCTGGAAAAGCTGCACCCTCTAAAATAATTCATTGTTCAGACTAGAAAAGCCTCACTGATAAATCAGAATCAGAATACTTTATTGATCCCCTGAGTTAAATTGTAATAATTACAGCTGCAGCCGTTCAAGTAAGCATTAGAGATAAAATATAAAGGAAAAAATATTAGAGCACACAAGGAAGTAAATGTAATATAAAGGAAAAAAATATTGCAAGGAAGAAATAAGTATAAACACTATGGGGAACTAAATAAACACAGAGAACAATAAGCGTAGTTTGGCATCAATACAGTGTAAATAGAAATAAAAACAGTGATGTACTCTGAAACTAAAAACAGTACGGCTGATTAAAATGAATTGCTGTAAATCTGGGAAAAGCTGCGCACCTTAAAATCGTTAAATTACCATAAATTGTAGAACTGCAACATGAATGATTTACCGTAATTATAGAAAAATTTCTATAGACATTTTACAACCAGATGAAACGTTATTTGGTTCTAGAACTGAACCGCGTTTCATCATTTGATCTGTAGTTTAGAGATTTACTTTTCTAAATTTACCAAAATAAAAATAAAAAGATCAGAAAGGAGGATTAACAGTTTAATTAAAAAGGTCTTAAAAATTGGACAGTTTCAAAACTGTAAACAGTAATTAATG